TTTATTAGAACCATAAATGCTTTCTGTACGAAGTTCAGAAAATAACCTCTTGAATCAATATGTGAAAAAGATGAACAAACAGCAAAATCCTTTGATAATTTGAACAGAATCCAATAGATTTTACTAGAAATTTGAAGTAGATGTTCATCAACACAAATTTATCATGCTGTTTACATTAATAAACAGTTTCTAGTTCGAGAAATTTAAAGACTATCATTCTTTTCCTCTCTTTTCTTTCCTTTTCAAGAAATAACTCTTTATCTGAAATTACTTTTCGATTATTGTATCTGTAGTTGAAATGAAGTCTATATTTAACAAATAGTTACATTGAAGTTCTCATTAAATACAGAATGAGAATAAATTTACGATATTTCACTTCTCATCGTACTATGAATGATTTGAATGCATTTGAATGTTTGAAAGCTCTCATTAGGTTCAATTCGAGTAAATTTCTCGCTGAACTGATTCAAAACTGACCTTAAATAATTCGATTTCACAGACAAATTTGGAATTCTCCAAACACAATTCTCAATTCATATCATAACAATTTCAATTAACCCTCATCTGTCAACAAGCAAACATGGAATCGCCGATACATGTCAATCACAATCACACAATCAAAATTTAAAGGAAAAAAAAAAACTCGACGAACCTGATTAACAAGCTGATGAGGCTGAAGGAGAGGGTCAGTGAGCGAGCGAGCGCGAGAACTCGAACTCCGCGGCAAGACGTTCCGATTCTTGCTACCGGAGGGCGGCTGACGAAGTGAAGTAGACCGATCAAACGAACAATCCATTGGATGTTTCTGGAAGAGCGCCGCCGCCGCTACCAAAGCCTGCTCCGAACTCATCGACTCTCCAACCTTCTCCCTCCGCGAAGAGCGCGTTCGAAACCATCGGTTGCTGGAAATGGACAACGGCGGTGGGTTCGGGAAAGTGTTTTCCGGTTGCTTCACCACTGGTTTTGGCGGCGAGAATGTGGCGCAAAGATTACCCATTCCCGACGCATGCAGAACAGAGCAGAGTCTACAGAGAGAAAGAGAAGAAAAGTTCCCCAAATTCTGTTCCTGTAGAGGGATGTGAAAATGCAGAGAGATGGGAGATCAAAATCGTATTGATTGTGTCGAAGGGAAAGACATTGATACCAAATGATGGTCACCCTCTGCTCTGCGTGTTCTTGCAAATGATTATATACTTTCTTTATTTTCTGCTTTTCAATGCTCCAAACTTTGTTCTTTCAGTTCCAACTAATTCTACTTTCACAATAAATTCTCATGTCTTTGCTTTATGCTTCTCAAAAGCCTCATACCAGTGGAGAGAACATTCCCCAACTTAGCAGAAATGAGACTTTCATTATCAGGTACCTTCCTAGTTGTCCAAAGTTACATAAAATTTGTAATTTATTTTTCTTTTACTTAGTAAGTAAAGATTTATAGAGTTGGAGCCTCTATGCCCGATTTCATTTAATTCTTTACTGGGATGTGTGGACTATATATTAAAAAAAATACATAAGAAGATAAAATAAATTATGATATTAGCTACCATATGCTTAAGAATCTCTAAATCAAATTTTGGTATGTTTATTAAATTATCCTTTTATAAAAGATATTTTCATGTCTTTTAGGAACATCCTGTCTTTTTATATTACTTCAAAGTACTCGAACCCTTTTTGAAATTTAATTAAATATAAGAAATACAAGTATTTATTAATTTGAATTTTTTATTAAGCATTAAGAAACAAATGTGGAATTTAATTAATTTAAATGGGAGGACGATGGGTGTTGTTTATTTGGGTTTGGTAAATGAGAAAGCAAGCAAGATTCCTGGAAACTGGTTATGAAATACAACTGTAAAATGGAAGCTTTTTTGATTTGGTTATGGTTTTGGTCGGTGGTTTTGTCAAAAGTGGTTTTCTTTTTGGTTCAACCTTCCTTTAGCCCTCTAAAAGCATAGACGTTTTTGTGGGAAAGTTGTGGTTCTTAGCTTGCGTTCTTTAATGTCCCTTCCCATTCCAACTGTATCCACTTCTCTCAACTACAATTTTAATGTCCATAATTTGAAATTCAGGTCGAGCATCTAATGAATCTGATATTCTTCTGCATCTCTGCATCAAATTTAAGGCTAACGTCATGAACAACACGTAACGTTCAATGCCCAGAATTTTAAATTCAGATTCAGTATCTAATAACTTTGATATTCTCGTGCATCTCTGTATCAAATTTAGGGTTAACAACATGAACAACCCGTAGCGTTCAATGCCCAGAATTTCAAATTCAGATTCAGCATCTAATAACTTTGATATTCTCGTGCATCTCTGCATCAAATTTAAGGCTAACGTCATGAACAACACGTAACGTTCAATGCCCAGAATTTTAAATTCAGATTCAGCATCTAATAACTTTGATATTTTCGTGCATCTCCGTATCAAATTTAGGGTTAACAACATGAACAACCCGTAGCGTTCAATGCCCAGAATTTCAAATTCAGATTCAGCATCTAATAACTTTGATATTCTCGTGCATCTCCGTATCAAATTTAGGATTAACAACATGAACAACCCGTAGCGTTCAATGCCCAGAATTTCAAATTCAGATTCAACATCTAATAACTTTGATATTCTCGTGCATCTCCGTATCAAATTTAGGGTTAACAACATGAAGAACACGTAACGTCTCATGCTTAGGATTTGAAATCCAAATTCAGTATCGGATGGCTCCGATATTCCCCTGCATCTAACATGGTCAAGTTACTTACTTCTTACTTCTAATAACGAAGATTATCCCCACAAACTAATATGAGTCTTTTCAACATAGTTTGTTCTTACTCGCATGCATCTCATAAAAATTCTTAGGATGTCACTAACATAAAAGTTGCTCTAAGTAAAACATGCTTAACTATGATATTCTTATAATTAAGTCACCAAAAAAGAAGCGGGCATCTTATTAGTACTAATAGTGACTTTCAATTCTTTTAAGTTTTTCTTAGTCATTGTTCTAATTAGAATGTTGTTTTGATTCATTCACTTACTCATCATTTACTTTAGTGTCAGGTCGAAACTCGGACAGACTCCATTAATTAATGTCAAGTGAGTCAATACCCAAGCCAACATCTCTAATTCAGTCCACACACTCCATATCCCAATTCCTTCACCACATATCAAACAATCCAATATCTTCAACACCCCGACGACTCCTCCTCTTCTCATTATTGTTCACATGGGAATTACTTCAAACACCATGGCTGCAACTCTACTGACACCATCAATGACGATTCTGTTCATAATTCTGCTGCTGAACCCCCCAACCATTTCCCATGCAGCCATCAACAAGACCGCCGCCGAGTGGTGCGACGGCCGCCTGGAGAACTGCCTCATCGGCGACCTGAACTCCGATTCGGAGTTTCTGATGGAAACCGAGACCAGCCGGATGCTGCTGGACTCCAATACTTTCGAAACTTCCCACACCATTAACCCTGACAACCAATCGGTTCCGGAGTGTGGTCGGCCGCCGCGGTACGCCAGCTGCCTCGGCCAGAGATACAGTATTCCACCCCCGGAAAATTGCGGCCCCTGGAATCGCGTCAATCCCTGTTAGAACCTCCTTCGAAACAAAATAAAACAGATTCCAGGTACTTGTGCTGTGATTTAGAGTAATGTTGCTGAAGGGTCTGTATGAATCCTGTGTGTTAATGTTTGAATATCGAATTGCTTTCTCTGTTTTCTTCATCGACCAATAATTCTCATCTCAAATTTGGATCTGAACTGCGTATTTGAACATCTAAAGAATGCCGAGATCATATCATTATAATAGAACTGGATCATACCACCAATTAAAAGCAAAAAAACTAAGTTCAAATCATGTTTTCATCGTTTCAAATAATATTTATATTCTTAACCAAACTAAAAAAAAATATTTATATCCTAAATTTTTCATGTGGTATCAAATAAGTATGACTTCATTCCTCGTTCAATTTCAATCTTTGATTCTCTTCCGACAGACAGAGAAAAAAAAAAAAAAAAAAAAAAAATCCCAATTCCCAATTTGGAATCGGCATGAGAGACAATATGATCAGTAATTAGTCAAACTGCCTCACACGCTTGTTTCGTTCTCCTCTCCAACCAATGTGAGACTCTCATAGTTCACGCCCAACGTCTTCGTTAGTACTAGCACACTCGCGGACACTTGTTCCTTTCTTTAATCGATGTGGGACCTCCACCAAATTGACTCACTTCAGGGCCCAGCATCCTTACTGACACTTACTACTGACACACTGCCTTGTGTCTACCCCCTTTGGAGAAGAGCCTCCTTATTGGTATATTGTTCGATGTCTGGCTTTGATACCATTTGTAACTGCCCGGACATACCGCCAACGGATATTGTCCTCTTTAGGTTTTCATTTTCAGGTTTTAAAACGAGTTTGCTAGGAAAAGTTTCCACACATTTATAAAATGTGTTTCGTTTTCCTCTGCAACTAATGTGAGGCTTTTCCCCTAACAATTATCCCTTTGAACAAATACACATAGAGCCTCTTTGAGGCGTACTAACTCTTTTACTTGGTTGAGTAAAAAACTAATAATAATAATGAAATCCCTATTTTAAGGCAGCAGGACAGAGACGATTTGATGGGGAAATTGGTAATAAGGCGTTTTTGGCAACGGTAAAAACCGGGGTTTTTTTTTAATATAAATAGATGCCCACATGACGTACTTCACAAGCGTTCGTTATTAAATTCTGAGAATGGTCCGCATCCTCCGCTCAACATTCCTCCGCTCTGATCTCTAAACCTCCCCAAAAATTTCTCAATCTCTACAAATTTCATCTCCATCACTCTCTCTCTCTCTCTCATTCTGATTTCGCTTCTTCTCGGTTCGTTTTCCTTCATATCACGCTTTCGGTTTTCTTCCCGTTGCTTTGATTTGTTACAGTTTTCCGAGTTTGATCGGCTGAGCGAAAATTGAGCAACGTTCTGCACCAGTCTGATACGATTGAGGAAGCGGTAACTTTTTCGATGATTTTCTATTATTAGGGGTTTATGTGATTCTTCGTTAGTTTGGGCCTTTGTAGCAAGCACTTCTATTGTTATGTTGTTGTTTTTAAATTGAAGTTGTACCTGCCATTTGTTTGGGGCAAAACGTGATCTCATGCTAAGTTTTTGCTAGATGATTGCTTAATAGGTTGCTGGAGTCTTGGTATAATGAAGGACATTAAAATAATTGTTCCTCTTCGGACATGCTACGAGGTCTGAGGAGATGAAATCGAAAAGACTAGGCGGATGTGATCCCTAAAATTTTAGGTAATAATAGGTTGGGATTGTAGTGTCCACACCGACTTTCAGGCGTTGAACTGAAGATTCTTAAGAAACCTCTTGCACCGTTATCTTATATCCTTATCAGATTGCTCTCTCTGTCATTTATATTGTTTAAAGGTGCAATTTCTCTGCATGTTCATCTTCAAAAATATGACGCAAGATTTTCTTTATAGTATATGGTATTTGTTCATGCACAAACGGTAACAAAATATTGTTTGACATAGCGAGTACAGTAAACTGGTTAGTACTGTAGTTGCATTTGGCGGTTATTTTTCCTATCCTTTCTGAATTCAGTTGTTGTGGAAATTGGAGTAAGCTATTATTGGATTTGATACTTAGCTAGTTGTAGAACTAGCTAAGAGAAACAAGCAAACAGGATATTATAACTCAGGATTGTTACTGACTGGTTATGAGCTAAAACAATCATGTTCCAAATATTTGTAAGTACAAACGTGGCAGACTCTGCAGTTAAGAGCCGATGCACTTCTTAGATCTTAGACTCAAAATAAGAGTGCCTTTCTGGATTTAAGTGGCAAAAGGGAAAGGAAATAGCAGAGGAGAAAGAAATGGAAGTCAAAGCTGTTGGTAAGATTAAGGCCATGAGTCCTCATACCCATATATTCTTCTTCATTATCGTTTTTTTAGGTTATGAAGTTAGGAATTAACACGTAACATCGAAGTGTGAAGTGCTGGAATCTTGGTTGGGACTTGATTGAAAAGGGAAGTGCAAGTATACAAAGAAAGCAGGTTGTTTGATACATTAAGGCAGCTTGAAACACTCTTTTCTTTTATCTTCTCTCACATAAGCTGGTTCTGATCTCGTTTCGCTCTTGTGACTATGGGAAAGGTCGAACTCGAGCAAAACAAGGTATTTACTTCTATTGCAAATGGCAGTTTGTGTTTTATGCATTCTAAATTCAAATTAAATTGTGTTCTTTGGTTTCTAATTTTAGTTTCTCAGTTATTTTTACATAAGAGATTATCAGAAGATAGAACCTTAGAAAAAGCAATCAGTTGAATTAAGGTTGTGTTTGAAATTTCTGTAACTATGAAATTGAGTCTATTTATTAGCAGATTTCCTGCCGACAAATTTTGAGTTTTCGAGCTTCTAGATAAATTTTGCTATTTCTTCTATTGATCAATTGTTGAAATGCAATACCAGCCTGGGCCGAAGAATAGATTGTCTTTTAGTTTTTGCTATTGCTTCTATTGATCAATTGTTGCGAGAATAAGATATTTCCCTAGATGACTTTTGGGTCTAGCTGTCCAAAGCTTAGCAAATTATCTGGAACCAAGTAGACAAGTATTGTAGGGATATGGAATTCAAAGTTGGGGATTCAATTTACTTGATGCAATAGCCTTTTAGATAAGGCTGCTTCTTGAGAGAATGAGAATCTAGCACCAAGTTTTATGAGCCATTCACAAAACAAGAACAAGTGGGGAATGTTGCTTGCCCTCCAGCTCAATTACTATTTGCTATCTACCAATGGTATGGTCTTGGTGCATGTATCGGAAGGATTAAGTGTGGAGGAAGATTCCGTGAGAGCCTTGTGAATGGATACAGCAGCAATAATTAACTTTTCACCTTGAGGACAAAAGTGATTCTCTTTGCAGGTATTGACATCCACCACGTTGTTACATGTATGCTAGGAGAAGACTTGTGAGCCTGTTCAGTTGGGTATTGGGTTGTTTTTATGTGAATAACAAAATGCTAGTTGGCATGAAAGTTGTGAGATAAATACGGTTCTGTGTGATATGTGGCCCCTCTATGTTGTAGTTGTGTTATAATCAATACAAGGTAGAGGGAGGAGATGTCTTAGGTTGGCTTTGGTTACGTGAATTGGAAGGAGAGAACTAGACCTCTCAAACGTAGTTGTAATGTTTATCCTTCCAATTGTAAATGGGATATCCTTGATAGTATTCTATCAAACTTATTTTTGTTTGCCTTATTCAAGTTTTTGAATTTTTTTTTTCTGAGATTTCATTTTTGTAGAGTTTGTCTATGCAATTGTGCTTGATATTACTAACGTTTGTATGGAATTGGCACAAAAGTTTATGTGGGTCCATGTTGAACCTTTGTGGTTGTAAAATTATTTTGTTGAGACTTCCATGGATTCTATTTTCTCTTTTTGTTTGTTTGGCTGAGTTCTTTCAATTTGTAATGTTGGATAACTGTTGTTAGCATACATTATCTTGAACTTCAAATATATGAGCGGAAAGTTTAGAAACAGAGTAGGTGACCAATTTTTTTTTTCATCATCATTTTTTACCATCATTATAATTTTAGACGACACCATGAAAGATGTCAAATTGTGGTATGAATCACTTTCTTAAAGTCTACCCTGAAAAGTACATTCTAAACTCTTATTGTCGATGTTTATTTTAGTTTTAGATGACAAAGTGATGAGTGATGGACTATACTTGATGATCGTCATCATATCATATAGAAGTTGACAGCTGGGTAGATAACAGTCATTTAAATGTTTCATTTGTGTGCAATGCAGTTTGGTGAGTCGAATTTGTTGTGGTGGAAGAAGAGGGAACAAATAGGCCGACAATGTTGAAGTTCCCTGATGATTCGCAGAATCCGGATAATAAACTACCTGAAAAGGGTGTTCTGAGTTGTGCCCAAGATTTGAGTAAAATGTCATCCTCTAGACATTTTGGTCAAAGTAATGCTGAAGTAGTAGCTGGTAGTTTCCAACAGCGTGCGCTTGGTATCGTCCATGAAGAAGCTAATGGCTTGTTGATTTTCAAACCTCCACTTTCACGACCACCACGTTATCAGATGAGAAAAAAGCTTCTCATTCTTGATATTAATGGTGTGCTTGTTGATATTGTATCTCCTCCTCCCAAGGACCGGAAAGCAGACATTAATATTGCTCGACGTGCCGGTGAGAATCGATCAACATTTTATATTAACCAAGTTCAATGCAAATTCTATCTCTATCTTGATTTAATTCTGATTTTGAAAATTTCAGTTTTCAAAAGACCTTCTTATTTAGATTTCATGAAGTTCTGCTTTGAGCGATTTGAAGTTGGCATATGGTCATCAAGAAACGGGTATTGTTGAATTAATTGTGTTTCACATGTTATTAATTTCTTATTGGAACTATATCAAAGAAGTAATTAAGCCTCTTAATGCTTTGAAGGAAGAATGTACAGAGAATGGTTGATTATTTGATAGGAGACCTGAAGCACAAATTATTATTTTGTTGGGTGAGGAATAAAAAAAAACTCACTTAAAAAGTTCGTTTTTGAAATTGTATTCGTACTCTCCATTGGTGCTCTATATAATTCGCATTCAGCACAACGTAACTCTGTATTTTAATATAGTACGAGAGGCATTGCTTTTATGGACTCACTTTTACAGGATCTTTCGCGCTGCACTGCTTCAAGATTTAATACACTCGAAAACAAACACAAACCTCTAGTTTTCAAGCAACTGAGGAGAGTTTGGGAGAAGCAGGATCCGAATCTTCCATGGGAACGGGGAGAATATAACGAGTCCAATACGGTGTTGCTGGACGATTCTCCGTACAAAGCATTGCTTAATTCTGTATGTTCAGTTAACTTTTCCGATCATTAAAGATTATAATCATGGATGGCCTTGATGTTTCGATCACATTTTATCTTCTCTATTCACATTAGTAATGGATGGCCTAATCTTATCATTTGCTAACCGTTGATTCTTGCAGCCACATACGGCAGTTTTCCCACATTCTTACACATATCTGGATGACAAAGATACTTCATTAGGTGAGTTCAAAATTACATTTTGGGTGATGTTTAGTAAACATTGTTTACATTTGTAGAATGTGTTTGGAACGAGTCAGGAATACATCTCCATTGGTACGAGGCCTTTTGGGGCCCAAAGCAAAATCGTAAGAGTTTATGTTTAAAGTGGACAACATCATATCATTGTGGAGATCCGTGATTCCTAACATAAACATGACAATTAATTTGAAAAGTGTTTTTACAAAGCTAAAGTTGTGTTTCCTTTTAAGTTTGAGAATCATGCTGGCTGTGGTGTGTGTGTGTGTGGCAGGAACAGGAGGCGATCTTAGAAATTACCTAGAAGGCTTGGCTGAAGCTGAAAATGTACAGAAGTACGTGGGAGAAAACCCATTTGGTCAAAGGCCTATATCAGAAGGAAGTGCATCTTGGGACTTCTATCACATGGTTTTGGATGATTATCATTCCTTTTCATCAACTATTTGACATCTTTTCTATGAGTAATTTTGAAAGGTGTAAGAAGCACAGCAAGTTGACAAGCAAATTCTTTTGTATTAAATGAATTGACATTCATCTTTTGGGATCAAAAAGAAAGAAAGTTGACATATCCCTGCAAATGCCGTGGCTATCTATTCTTCCATTTGAAAGGACACCCCAAAAGGGGAGGAGGAGCCGCTAGCTATCTATTCTTCCATTTGAAAGGACACCCCAAAAGGGGAGGAGGAGCCGCTAGCTCTCTCTTAGTGGTTGATTGTGGGGGGAGTGGCTAATGATTTGTAGCAATGCACACTGAAATATGAAGGGTTAGGCTTCGATTGTGACAAGATGATTAGGGGCTTCTATGAACATGGCGACTTCCATTTTTCTCCACACAACTAAAAAAAAATGTCTATATATATATAGCTGTCCGAGTCAGGGTTTTAAAACAACTATCTACCAAGTAAGAGATTTTCATGTCAGGGTTTTAAAACACTATCTACTAGAAAGAGATTTTCATGCTCTTATAAGTACTGTTTCGTTCTTCTCTCCAACTAATGTGAGATCTCATAATCCATTCCTTTGGGGACCAGCGTCTTTGTTGACACACCTTTCGGTGATTAACTTTGATACCATTTGTAACAATTCAACCCAATCACTAGTAGATATTGTTCGCTCTGGCTTCAACCCCACCACTAGTAGATATTGTCTACTTTGGCCTGTTATATATCGCTATCAGCCTCACGGTTTTAAAATGCATTTATTAGGGAGAAATTTCTAGACTCTTATAAGAAATGCTTTGTTCCTCTCACTAACCAATGTTTCATTCTCCATCTTCTCCATCCAACCAGTATTGAGATCTCACATGACGAACTACAAAACAATATGAATTTAGATGGATTCGATTCGACCCAATTTAGTTTTGAGAACTAACTCAATCGATAAAGTTTTCATATATTTAAACTACGAATTTATTTGGGTCTCTGATTGGATTGATCAGAGTTTTTCTTTTAACGTCCCTAAGAATCCGATTCCTGAAAACCCTGATGGTTGCCTCCCAAACATAACAAATAATGTTGGGAGAATTAAAGTGAAGCATTTAGGGAGTGACAATAGCAATAAAGTCTAATTTCGGCTGTTGTGTCGAGTGTCTGCGTTTGTGGAAGCATGCAATACTGAAACAAATGGGTATCTCTCTCTTCCTCATTGAATAGCCATTGATATCATCAAATCTGTTCTTCCCCTTTAGATATCAGTTCCTCAACAGAGCTGAAGAAGATTGAGTGTGTTCAACAACAAAATCACCAATAATTCATACCCTTCTTCATAGCATTATCCAAAACCCTAAAATCCTTAACACTTTATTTTATTTCATTTAATTCATCTTTCTCTTTTTGTTGTTTTCTTACGAACATTAATGAACACTGTGCTTTGTTTGCCTAAAAAGAAAACAAAATGTCTGCTCTTTATTGCTTCTTCATATGCCCTCATCCAAACCCTTTCTTTTTCGTATTGATTTTCTCTTATTGTTGTTTTCGATTTTAAAACTAAAGTGTAATGCTTCATGCTCGAGATTCGGACCACGATTTCAAATCTAGATTTATCACCTAATAATTCTGACGTTTCCCTACGTCTCCTGCAACAGTATCACATTACCTACTTGTCTTGAAGTGTTTATAAGACCAAAGTTATATTCGCAGATCAACACGAGTCATTTCAATATATCTTATTCCACTCATATACTTCTTAGAAGGCCCTTATGTCCTCATATACTTCTTAGAAGGCCCTTGACATAGGATTACTCCAAGCTAAGTATGTATAACTTTAGAATTCTTATGATCGAGTCGTTAAAAAGAAATGTGCATGTTGTTGGTATAGGTAATAGCTATCAATTCTTTTAAACACTTCATAACTTTTATATCTCTCGATCACTCTTATTACAATAATTTCTTTATAACAATCAAGAGTACATAGAGAAAGGTTTCTACACAGTGGAACGAAACAATCTTTATAAGAGTGGGAAATGCGCAAAATCGTGAGTCTGACGGTGATATATAACGGGCCAAAACGGATAATATCTGCTAGCAATAGGCTTGAACTGTTACAAAATCGAACACAAAAGGGTTTAAGAAGGTGATTAATTATATGAAATCCAATATGGATGTGTGTGTCAGTTGTTAAGAGTCTGAAAATCATACTTCCAAGTTTAGCTGCCCATGCATATCTCTCTGCACCAAAAGCTTGAGTTGTCCAATTTTTGGTGTTTGACAAGGAAATATGAAGCCAATAATGGTCCCTCATCTACATATTCATTGTTTATCTCAATAGCTACCTATCTATGTATCTATCATGGACTGATATATTAATATCTGTTCATTCTCTCTCTCTCTCTCTAGGTGTGTTTTTTAGATACCCTTTTGTATTATTGGCACTAAGATGATGATATTAAGGATTAATTGTGATTATGTATAGGATTTGCTGATGATCACATGATGCACATCCAACTAAGTTTCTCTTGGTACAAGGCGTGCATGTGATACCATACCCCTTCACCCAAACCTTTTGTAGTTGTCGATAAAGCTTTACTCACTACTTTTCAAAAATGTGCACCACCAAATGGTCCCCTATTCATATAATTAACCATCTTTCAATCCTCTTTTCTCTTCTTTTTCACAATGCTTTGTGTTCTCTATTCAATTATCGCTAACCCTAAATGCTTAACTTGATCGGTAACAGAGCCGGATGTTTTGGGTGCAAATGTGGTAATGTCTTTAGCCTCGCGGTTTTAATATCCATGTAATAGGATAGACCCATTACCCATCACTGTCAACCTCACAGTTTTAAAACGCGTTTGCTAGGGATAAGTTTCTAACCCTTATAAGGAATGCTTTGTTCTCTTCTCCAACCGATGTGGGATCTCACAATTCACCCCATTGGAAGCCCAGCATCCTCGCTCGCACACTGCCCAGTGTCTGATTCTGGTACCATTTGTAATAGTCTAAGCTCATATCTAGTAGATATTGTTCTCATGGGCACATTCGTATCACCGTCAACCTCATGGTTTTAAAATGCTTCTGCTAAGAAGAGGTTTCTACATCCTTATAAGGAATACGTCGTTCTCCTCTCCAACTAATGTAGGATCTCAATTATATGCTCAAATTCCTGTAACATCATTTGCATCTCGTGTTAATTTCTAATCGATATGGAGGCAAGTTTTCTTTTTTTAAATATCAAGTCAAGAGTGGTACAATTATTCGAGTCGAAAGCGATTCGAGCCATGTGGCTGCGTACAAACCATTGCTTTAGCTTTCCAATGGAGGATGGTCGGTTGAATTCCAGCATCTTCTTCTTTCTTCTAAGCTGGATACCTCTGCAAATAAAAACCAAAGCTTTGGCCTTCCAAAAAGAAACCCAATATTCCACAGCTACCTAGGTTTGCTGTTCATCAATTGTGTCTCCAAATTTCAAGCCTTCCTAGAAGCTCAACCACGTAAAAGGGTTCACTGCTAATGCGTAAGTGATTGACCCAATTCCTTATGTTCTTCAGCTTTATCTGATTTGATCTCGAAAATCACTAAAGAAATTGGCAGAATTGGTTAAATCAGTACAAAAAGATGGAAACTTCTAAGAAAATTTGTGTTTTTTTCAGCTCATATCAAACAAATCCTTTTGGGGTTTGCAATAATGTTTTCAAGAAATTTTATTGTCCTATGAATGATTACATGAAATGGGTTCTTCTTGATCTTAGGGTTTTTGAGGGTTTTGTGTATTAATTAACAAAATGGTAGATATTCTCTTCATAATCTAATGCTCGGCATAGCAGCTTCATCGAGCTCATCGACGGTGACACCATGGCTTAGGCTAAAGGATCCGAGGATCGTGTGCGTGTCGCGAGCATTCGGGGGCAAGGATCGACACAGCAAAGTTTATACCATAAGAGGGCTGCGCGACAGGCGCATTAGGCTTTCGATATCGACCGCGATTCAGCTTTACGATCTTCAAGATCGCCTCGGTCTTAACCAGCCGAGCAAGGTGGTGGACTGGTTGCTCAACGCTGCCAAGGATGAAATCGACGAGCTCCCTCCATTGCCTATCCCTTCTGTGAGCCTCGGCCTTGACTACCAATCCATGCTACTACCTCACGCCCAGACACGCCCTCATAGGTCGGAGTTCAAAATCGGTAAGGTAGCCGAGGACGGTGTTGCGGCTACCGCAGAACAAAATGAGCTCAAACCCAATTCTAATCCCTCTCAAACTTCTTCATCCTCAATGCTTTTGAACAATGTGGGTGCCATTCCATTTGGGTATCATCATTGGGAGGCACCAACACCAACACCAACAAATCTTCCATTCTTTACATCTCAAGGTGAGGATCTTCATAACTTCATTTTGAACCATTAATTTTCAGTTTGGCTCACAAATTCGTTTCTCAAGAGAAGAATAATAACAATGGAGATCGAGTTCATAGCAAGAACAACAATGGAAAAGCTATTCTACTGCTTAATCTTCTATTCCATTACAACAATCATCATATTTGAACCTTTCAATTCCTAGTTTTCATTGTTTTTTTTTTTTTTGTCTTGTTATTTGTTTTGTTTTGTTTGGTGATCATCATCTATTGTTGGATTGAGTTTGAGAATTAGTCATCCCTGACCTCGATCACCGTTTTCGATGACCTTGGTAGCTAATTACTTGATCACTCACCCAACGTGTAGTTACCACAATTCATTTTATAACATGTCAAATCAATTCATGCACAAAATATAAGTTTCGTTGCAGCTCAAAACATGCTGTAACGACACAAAATCTTCCAATTTTCAATTAAACTACATGCATACTATAACAGCCTAATTCCAACGCTAGTTGATATTGTCTGCTTTTGCACGTTAGGTGTCGTTGTCAGCCTCACGATTTTAAAACTAAAGTTTACTAGGGAACGGTTTCCACACCCTCATAAGAAGTGATTCGTTCTCCTACTATAACAGCTCAAGCCCACTGCTAGCATATACTATCTGCTTTTGCACGTTACGTGTCGTTGTCAACCTCACAGTTTTAAAATAACGTCCACGGAGGAGAGGTTTCCACACCCTTATAAGGAATATTTCGTTCCCCTCTCCAACCGACATGCGATCTCATACATACCGATCTAACCATTGAAAATTTCTTAATATGAATTATTATCTTCAAAATTCAAGGATAAAAATAAAAACTTTGCATAATTTTAAAAAATTTACACAATTATATAGCATTTTACTTTAAGACATATTTATTAGTTTAATCTTAAACACAAATGGAAGGGAAATTTATAAATTTATGCATTATTAGAAATTTAGCAACCTATAATAGGAAAAGAAATTAAAAATATTCCATCTTTATTTATAAACAAAAGGCTAAATTGATAAAATAAAACCTTTTAATAATATCCTTAAATTAAAAAATATATATTTTTTTTAAATTTTTTTTTTTTTTTTTGAAAGAGTTCTTATAATTTCCCATAGAATATAAATAGAAAACCCCGAGAGTTCATTTTCTTCGCGGAGACAACGCCTCTGGTTAATGGCTTCCGAATCTTCCACCGCAAAACCCTTACCAATCGACTCATCCCTCTCCTTCGTCACTGCCATTGAATCCTTTTCACGGCAATTGAATCTCTCTCTTCCTCCTCTGAAGCTCCCATTCCGGCCGCCTCCTTTACCGGCCGATTTCCCCCAATCCAAACTCATTCCCAAATCCCGCTTCGTCGTCGACGCATTTTCTTACGCTGGTGAGTTCTCTGTTTCCTATTTCCTTTCCCATTTTCACTCCGATCACTATGCCGGTCTCTCCCCTACTTGGTGCAAGGGTATCATCTTCTGCTCTGATGTTACCGCCCGCCTTTTGCTTGAAGTTCTCAAAGTCCCGTTGCCGTTTGTCCAATCATTGCCGCTTCGGGAGCCTGTAGTAATCGATGGATGTGAGGTAATACTTATTGATGCCAACCATTGTCCTGGTGCGGTGCAGTTCTTGTTTAAGATTCATAGTGCAGATGAAAAGTTTGAGAGATATGTTCATACTGGGGATTTTCGGTTTTGTGATTCTATGATAGTCGACCCTGTTTTGAAAACGTTTATTGGCTCGGATGCAGTTTTCTTGGACACTACTTATTGTAATCCGAAGTTTATTTTTCCTTCTCAGGATGAGTCAATTGAATATATTGTAAACATCATACAAAAAATTGGAGGTAAAAGTAAGGGTTCTATGGGGAGTGTTCTTTTCCTTATAGCAACTTATGTGATTGGTAAGGAAAAAATTTTGCTTCAAATTGCAAGTAGATGTAATCGTAAGATAATGGTGGATGCTAGGAAAATGACAGTTTTAAGGATTTTGGGGTATGGTGGTGAGAGTGGGGTGTTTACTGAGCATGAAAGTGAAAGTGATGTTCATGTTGTTGGATGGAATGTTTTGGGTGAGTGCTGGCCTTATTTTAGGCCTAATTTTGATAGAATGAATGATATAATGGTGGAAAAGGGGTATTCTAAGGTTGTTGGTTTTGTTCCAACAGGGTGGACTTATGAGATGAAACACAAGAACTTCTCAGTAAGATCCAAGGATTCGCTTGAGATACATTTGGTGCCATATAGCGAACATTCAAACTATAATGAAATTAGGGAATTTGTTAAGTTTTTGAAGCCTAGAAGAATTGTTCCCACTGTAGGTTTGGATGTTGATAAACTTGATAGCAAGCATGCTGATAAGATTAGGAAGCATTTTGGTGGTTTAGTTGATGAAATGGCCAACAGAAAAGAATTCTTAAAAGGGTTTCATCGTGGAGAAATGAGTGATGATATTGATGAAAGTGCCACAATGACTGTAAATGAGGACTTGGAAGAGATGGAAACTGTATCAGAAACATGTGGTACTAGTATGGCGTTGTCTTCTCTGCAAGAAGTTGGTTCTACCGATCGAGCCGTGTTGAATGACGAGGAGCAGAAGAAGATTATCCAGGAACTTCGTGAGTGCTTGCCTGCATGGGTGACTCAGGATCAGATATTAGAGCTGATTAGCAGGTCTGGGAGAAATGTGGTTGATGCAGTTTCTAATTTCTATGAACAAGAAACTGAATTTTATGAACATATTGCTAGTCTCCCGGATAACCTTCCCAAGTTCCAGGGCAAAGTTGTAGATAGGCCATTTATTTTTCCTGCAAGAGATGATATTAAAAAGAATGTTTTCTTGGGAAATTTTGACGTTTCTTCAGGTCAAGCTTCGAAGTCGTCCAGTCCAAGGGGCAAGACGACGACCAAGAGCAAAGCTTCTCCTGGGAAAAGGAAGAGAAATCTTCAGGGTAAGCCGAAAAGTAAGTCGAAAAAGAATTCAAGTTTGCAATCTGATGGGTCAAAGCAATCTACAATCACAAAGTTCTTCGGGAAAGCTTGATATTTGTCAGAAGAAGGTACTAAAATGGAATCCATTTTACAAGTAAGTTCCTCAAATGATATGATAATACTGAAAATGTGAACAAAGTGCAAGAGAAAGGGGAGGCTGTTGGAAATAGTTTTCCATGAATTATTGGTAGTGCCTCTCAAAACTCCACTTGAGACTCACTCAAAAGGATGAGATCTATATTATTATGGCATAGGGTGTTAGTCTCATGAGGAAAGTGCCGCAGCCATCACTTAGCCAATATGGCCTTGTATTGCAGCCACCTGTGGCTAAGACCCCAAGATTGAACGACTTAGCCACCAGGAGAGCTTTTTCTTTCATCAAAAACTTCTCTCAGGAGGGGTTTACTTAACACAAACTGGATCAAGTCAGGTCTTCATCCCTTTGAAAAATAGCTTTTGTTTGAAGAGAGTGGATCCCAAATGCAGTACTTCTAGGATTATGGCCCCATGAGAGAGATCCAAATGGGAGGGGTTTCTCATTTCTGAAGGACAATCTAAAACCATAGAGGAAATCGTCTGTTTATACCTTTTAATTTTGATTTGTTGAGCAGCGTGCGATAGATAGATAGATAGAAAGATAGAACGAGGAATCTCATCTAGTTCATACCTTACTCTTTTCCAATAAAGAATATGTTAATAGTTATTGTAGCTAATTCAAGTTCTCGATACACGAAGGAAAGGAAATTGCCAACAACTAAAAAGGGGGAAAAATCGGGTAACTGTACCACTTAAGAGTGAATCGATTCAGGCCTACGATAAAGTTTTGTTAAACAAGTGAAATTTATTGAAGAATGAGTATAGATTTTTCATCTTCTTTGCCTTTTCTTATTTTTCTCTACTTATTTAGAAATATCATATGATAATTTTCCTTGTAATTTGTATTTTGTAACTGTTACATATTATATATATTCAAATGTATTTCAAAAGAGTAAAAAGCTTAGGGAAAGAAACAAGAAAAACCAGAAATGAAAAATGGAATAGTTCTGAAATGAAGCACAGGTAATGATTTTCAGAGTCAAGCTAGAACAGACAATAGGGAAGAGCACTCTTTAGTTAATTTTGGGCCTTTTCTTCCTCATCTCTTTTTGATCCCGACCATTCTAAGGCTTTAGATATTGTCTTTTTTTGATTTCCTTTCCGGAGGTTTCCACACCCTTATAAAAAAATGTTTTGTTTCCCTCTTCTATCGACGTGGGATCTCACAATTCACCTCCTTTCAGTGCTTAACATCATCGCTGGCACACCACCCGTGTCTAGCTCTAATACATTTATAACAACCCAAGTTGATCGCTAGTAGATATTGTTTTCTTTGAGTTGTCCTTTCCAAGTTTCTCCTCAAAGTTTTAAAGTGCGTATAATAGGGGGGAGGTTTCCACCCCCTTCGTTCCCCTCTTCAACGGTTGTGGATCTCACATAAAATTACTCATTAATCACTTAGCTACAAGATATAAAATTAGCAAACAGCGACGGAGTACAGTACAGAGAAAATGACCGTAAACTCCAAAACAAAGATAATCACAGAATTAGAAGGTATAGCCATCATAAGGCCAAAGATGTTCGAGTCTAGTCTTAGACCCAATCCCATATTTCAGGTAGCATGTTGATACAACGATGGCCTAGTTTGGAGTTCACTTCACCACCAAAGGAAATAAGTTACAATTCAGTGGTTACTGGTTATGTTGCTCCACCCCAAATAAATAATTAATCAAATTATCCTTTTCAGGTTGGTGGTTTTTTTTCTTCTTATAATATGCAGAATTTAAAATAAAAATTAGGGATTCCCTGGGGGAGGCTATTTTTGATAAGCTACGCAGTATGAGAAAATTGAGACACAATAATATTAAATTGTTACTTTGGAGAAATAATTCCAAAATGGTCAAATTTGAGACTACCAAATTATATTTTGATCATGATTTAAATATTAATTTCTAATACACAATTTTAGAGACTTTCTTTGACCCGTAGGTCTTGACACGAGGTTAAAATTCTAGCTTTTTTGGTGTGGTATTTCATTAATGGCTCGAATTCTCTCTGAATAAGACTTTCATTACTCTCTATCTAAGCTATGTCTATTTCAACCCGTCTCTCTCCAAGACAATGTCGAAATCGCTACACCTTTCATATGGATTATAACTTATTCGACGAAGAATTTTGCTACCATATAACTATTTTACGAATCACACGTTCGGTGGGGAATTTGGATAACACTTTGTTATTTTCTTTTGAAATTGGCAGTCTCTTTGGAAATTAAGACGAAAGAGACCAAATCATATATATTCCAAATCAAAATAGGCACAAAAGGCTAAAGCCCATACCCACTCTAAATAATGCCATTTTGTCATCTACTATATCCCTCTTTTGATTATTATAATGTGGTGGTGGTATTCAAATTCATATTCTTTTCTCTTTAGCACCACTATATTATTTTATAATATAGTTTTAATTATAACTTCACTACTCTCAAATTTCGATTGAAATACCATTAAAAACTCTATATCAATTAAGAAAATGAAAGATCGTGAATATATTTATGCCACGTTCATATAAAATCATAACAGTTTGCGTCTAAACTCAATAATATTGTACCATTGTTGAATGGACAGGTGTAAAATTATCCTTAATAGATTCAAACATTATTGAATTATATTTAAAGTTTTTTTTCGATTATTACTGAAGATAATTTTCAAAAATAGTTATACGAGCTCAAACAAGTCAATAAAACAAAAAAAAAATCAAATTTTTTGTTTAGAAAATCGAGATAACTTGTTTTTTACATTATCCTCACAAAGAAAAAAAATGGTGTCTCGAACAATGAAGTAAGCTCTTAAATGGAATGGGAATAGAGACTATAATCTCGATTCACTGTCCCATTTATTTAACGGGTAAAAACGGTTCTTACTACTCTCATCCATCTAAACGGAGAATTTCGTTCACTAAAAAATAATTTAGAAAAAAAAAAAAATCTATTTTCAAATACTTTAATGCAAATACACGTAAGCCCAATAGCATTATAGGTATAAAATAATAAAAATAGTAATAAATAATTAGGTGACAAATAATTAATAAACAACCCCACTATAATAAATTAATACCAGTAGGTTGAATACACAGCACGTGCGTTATTATTTAGACAAAGCATGCACGCGCGTGTAACATACGGTTATAAACTTCTTATTTATTTATTATTATTTTTTATTAATTATTTGAATACTCAAAATGGTATGATGTTGTCCATTTTGAACATAAACTCCCGTGGATTTGCTTTGGGATTCCCCAAAAAGGTCTCAAATCAATAGAGAGAGTATTCATGATCATTCCCTAAATTAACCGACGTGAGACTTTCATCATCCAACAAACATTAAGATCTTTTCCCCCACGAAACTATATTTTGTCAATAAATGTGACGTTCTATGCCAAGGATTAGAATTATTATTTGAAATTTAAATTTGACGTTTGATGACTTTATCATTCTCTTGCGTCTCGTCAGTAGATCACTCAACATAAGATTGCTTCAAGCTAGGTCACTAAATATTAGTGTTAGAGAAGCATTTACGTACTGGGTGACACTAAGTCAGGAGAGATTTAAAAAAGAAAAAATATTTTTTTTTAGCTTAACGTTTACAGAGTGAATGATTAAACTATCAACTTTTTGGACAATAATTGATATCTTATGCAAAAAGTTATACTCGAGTTGACGAGATTGTGAGATGTTCGTGGACAAGACTTTAATTTAATCAATAAATAAAATATAATTAATATCAATAATAAAGACATTTGTTCCTTAGTCCAAACATTTCATAGGAAGTTCCAAATTCTTATACTTTTCCAAAAATAACCATTTTGCATACTTTATTTCAATAATTTATTAATATATTTGTTAAGAGTTATGTACACGTCAGCGTAAGATTAAAAAATTAAAAAATTCCTATATTTTCGCCAACATTTAAATTTAATTATTTGGAGAAATGAAACTTTAAATTATATATATATATTTTAAGAGAAATCTAAAAAATAATATTTATTTAAATTTAATTAAATAAAAATGCAAATTTGCAACCTTCAAGTTCAATCGGTCCAAGAAAGCACAATATTTCAACAATTCCCATATTACCCTCGTCCTTTTGTGCTTACAACCTCCGAACACGGAAGGGTATTCTCGTCCATAAAAAACAGTAGGAAAATCCGTACTGGGGGTTTATAAATCCACGCGTCATTAACGTCTAAACGTGATATGTAAGATATTTTATTTTTGCCCTTTTCTCACTCTTCCTCACACTTCCATTGCTTCCCACCGGCAAAATCTCAGAGCTTCGATGGGGGATTCCGCCGGAGATGTTAAAACAGACCTCAAATTTCATGGTCCGATCGACGGAAATGTTCTCGCTGCCATGGCGCTCGCCCGTTTCGGTGTCGACCGGATGTTTGGTGTCGTCGGAATTCCTGTTACATCTCTGGCAACACGCGCCGTTTCTCTTGGAATCCGATTCATCGCCTTTCATAACGAACAATCGGCTGGCTATGCTGCTTCTGCTTATGGATATCTAACGGGACGCCCTGGTGTGCTTCTTACTGTTTCTGGCCCTGGGTGTGTTCATGGCCTTGCGGGGGTTTCTAACGCCATGGCTAATGCTTGGCCTCTAGTGATGATCTCTGGTTCTTGCGATCAAAGGGATTTTGGCCGTGGTGATTTTCAGGAGCTTGATCAGATTGAGGCTGTGAAGCCCTTTTCGAAATTTTCCGTCAAGGCTACGGATATTTCCGAGATTCCGAATTGTGTCGCTCGAGTTCTTAATTCTGCTGTTTCTGGTCGGCCTGGTGGATGCTATTTTGATCTTCCGTCGGATGTTTTACACCAGACTGTTACCGAGACTGAGGCGGAGAGATTATTGGCTGCGGCGGAGGAATTTTCACATCGCGAGGTTATTCATAGAGTTCCGAATTCGCAGATTGAGGAAGCGATTTCGTTACTGAAACGTGCTGAACGGCCATTGATTGTGTTTGGTAAAGGGGCGGCGATCGCTCGGGCTGAGGGGCCGTTGAAGAAGCTTGTGGAGAGCACTGGGATTCCATTTCTTCCTACTCCAATGGGTAAAGGATTGTTGCCAGATACACATCAGCTAGCGGCTACAGCCGCTAGGTCGTTGGCGATTGGCAAGTGTGATGTTGCGCTTGTGGTTGGGGCACGGCTTAATTGGCTGTTGCATTTTGGCGAGCCGCCTAAATGGTCCAAGGATGTGAAGTTCATTTTGGTTGATATTTGCAAGGAAGAGGTTGAAATGAGAAAGCCCCATTTGGGTTTGATTGGCGATGCAAAACAGATATTGGAATCCATTAACAAGGAGATTAAGGATGATCCCTTTTGTCTTGGGAAGTCTCACCCGTGGGTTGAAGCCATTTCACAGAAGGCAAGGGACAATGTGGCGAAAATGGAAGTTCAGCTGGCGAGGGATGTTGTGCCATTCAATTTCATGACTCCTATGAGGATCATTAGAGATGCTATCACGGCTCTCGGTAGCCCTGCGCCCATATTGGTCTCTGAAGGAGCCAATACAATGGATGTGGGTCGCTCAGTTTTGGTTCAGACTGAGCCAAGGACCAGGTTGGATGCAGGAACATGGGGCACAATGGGGGTTGGGTTGGGCTATTGCATTGCTGCTGCTGTCGCTTCGCCCGATCGATTGGTAGTTGCCGTGGAAGGCGATTCTGGATTTGGGTTTAGTGCCATGGAAGTTGAGGTATTCATTCACCCTTTTACTCTTTT